TGTGGACAGCTAATAATAAGATAAAGGAGTACGTGTACCTGTGTAAATTGTTTGGTAATGTTTAACTAGCGTCACCTACAATCGTTTCGCAATCATCACCTAGTTACAAGTGAAAGCACTGTCCGGAGATATTGAAATGCCATCAGAATTACGCATGGGACGGTTAGGCACTGTGACCTCCAATGACCAGTTTGTCCACACTTCCAGCAAACAGAGCCTCGTCGAAATTTGCAGATTGATTGGTTGCAGGCGGTCGGAAAGGTGTAGTAACACGTGCGGGAGTATTTGTGGTGGGTCGCTCGGAGAAATTTCGAGATGGAGTCCAGTTGCGGTTTTTGGAATTCGGTTGCCAGGGAATGGGCTGCGAAGAAACCCATTGTCTTTGGTTTTGAGTGGAAATGAGTTCGGCGTATCTAAGGCCCCATCGGTTTGATGTGACGACTGGTTACTGGTTACTGAACGGAAAATCGGAATGATAAAGCCTGAAGGGCCTCTCGGTACAAATCTTCATAATTCTTAACGGTCTGAGCAAACTCAGTTACGGTTCGGTAATCGGTCGGCGGTAACACAAATGATATTCAAGAAACTAATTATGGTGCAACCGTGAAACCAATAAAGGCTCTTGTGACATACGACCATGTCATCTAAAGTTCGTAAGTCGAAACAGTTAGGCTAGTCAAAATAGGTGGTTAAGGTAGAAAAAATTAGTAACAAAGTGATCTCTGCGGAAATGAGTACTCAATAGGGTCCTTATTAACCCCTCAAAAATCGCACTTTGTCGCATTGGTGGAACTTGGAAAAAAATGGCCGCCATCTTGATTTTTTTCGAATTTATTAAATATTTCGTAAAGTATACATTATATCAAAAAAACTCAAGAGACTTTTTTTTATGGAGAATCAAAAGTTACCTGTAATAAAAAAACAAAAAAAGTTATTGAAATTTATATGATTTGGCAATATGGATTTTTTTAAAATTTGGTAAATATCTGAATTAGTTAAAACTGTTTTGCATGCCTAATTTTGAAAATAAGGATTTTAAAGTAAAATACTCAATAATTATTCACATCTGTGTCGAGACTTAGATGTATTTCAAAAACATAATGCAGATATAGCAGTGTTAATTAAATCGGGACTTAAAATTATTTTAAATCTGTACCGGTGTCCAAAGAAGATTCATGATTTAATGTAGCAGGTAAGTAGAGGGAGGCAAATAATTGAATGTTTTTATTTTCTTTAGGTTATCGGCTCACTAGAGTCGTTTATATATTTTAGCAAGGTCTCATGATGAAGTGAGCTTCGAAATCGATAACCCAAAGAAAATAAAAACATTCAATTATTTGCTTCCCTCTACTTACCTGCTACATTAAATATATCCAAATAATTCACATGGAACAATACATCAATAAAAAAAAAAGATTCACGATATTAATGTGCTGTTTGGCAGCTTCTTCGGTTGGTGGTAGTGAGGCTAAACACAATTCTGAATTTAAGCTATGCCTTGAAGTCATTCGCATATACAGGGTGGTGACTTGCGTCACGCATCATAGGGATTTCAATGTAAAATTCATAACATGCCATTATTGGCTCCCCAAATTATTTTAGAGCAAAAATGTATTAAGGTTTTTTGTAGAAAAAATTTTTTACGTCAATCAACCGTATTAGTTGTCAATTTTTTTGCATAATAAAGACGGAAAATTGGAAAAATAAAACCCCCATCTTTTTCAATAATCTGTAATGCCATGGAATTTTCTAATACAAAAACTACGCCAATATCCGTCATCCCCATGGAATGTCTGCTATAAAACAAATCAAATTCTATCAAAAAGTATTTAATTTAGAACACCGAATTCAACATAAAACTAAAAACGGGTTCCTAATAGAACAATTTACAATAAACGTTCGAATAAGTCACCATTAACTGCAAGACAGTAACCAAGTCGATCATAAAATCAATTTCCAACTGCTGCTAATTGATAAGTGGATATCTTTTTGTTTTAGAAAATTCCATGGCATCGCAGATTATTGAAAAGGGCGCGGGTTTTATTTTTCCAATTTTCCGTCTTTATATGAAAAAAATTGAAAACTAATACAGTTGTTTTTCTACAAAAAACTTTAATACATTTTAGCTCTAAAATAATTTGGGGAGCCAATAATCGCATGTTATGAATTTTACATTTAAATCCCTATGATGCGTTACGCAAGTCACAATCCTGTATAGTGTGTGACGTAACTGGTTAATATCATGAATCTTCTTTGGACACCGGTACAGGTTTAAAATAATTTAAGTCCTAATTTAATTAAAACTGCTATCACAGATGTGATAATTACCCAAATCATATAAATTTCAATAACTTTTTTGTTTTTTGATCAATAGACTTAAACTTTTTTTATTACAGGTAACTTTTGATTCTCCATAAAAAAAGTCTCTTGAGTTGTTTTGATATAATGAATGTATACTTTACGAAATATTTAATAAATTCGAAAAAAATCAAGATGGCGGCCATTTTTTTCCAAGTTCCACCAATGCGACAAAGAGCGATTTTTGAGGGGTTAACAAGGACCCTATTTAGTACTCATTTCCGCAGAGATCACTTTGTTACTAATTTTTTCTACCTCACTTATATAAACCAGCCTAGATTGACCAGCCTAAGTGGACTCATTTACCCTTTGGACAAGGCGGCTAATCTGTGCCTCAAAGTTAATATCAATCGGAAAATAAATATTTTGGAAATTGGTAAAAAAAAGTGTGCCAGCGGAGACGGATATTTCGGTAGCATTTAAGAGCCAAGCCAGTAAATAACTCTGGCAACACAAGAAGTATCTGATCACTCGGTATACTATAACGGAGACTGATCTCTTCGGGGGGTTCTAGGAAGGCAATCGAATCGGTTTTCGCTCCACAACTAACATTCCAGTCGAGAATCTTTGTGCCGTGCTAAGGGAGACTGAAATTTGGTGCGGATTCAACAGGCAGAGGAAAAGTATACTTGTTAGAATCACCTAGACTGAAGGTAACGGTTAAGATTGAAAAAATCCCTGAGCGGGTAGGAAACAGTCGAGGGACAAAAGTGTGCCAGAAGTGCTTATCGGGGTAAAAGTTATAGTCGGAGGCAAAGTTATCGGTTGAGGCGACCTTCACGGAGGAAACGGACACGTTTCGCCCGTGATTACCTCCGAGACAAGACAGTGATGGTTGTTTCGCAAGTGGTTAATTCCGGGATGGACGGTGCTGTACCCTTCAAGTCCCTACTTTATTTTATGAACGGTAGTAATACTTTACAACAACAACAAAAAACGGTAGCAGTCGGTGGTCGATCCGGATTTCCTCAGGCGTCACCAGAAGATGACAACCTTGGTTTTGGTCAAGAGTCGGAGGTGATGCAACGGTCTCGGGATTTTGGAAAAATCGGTAGCCACAAGTGATTAATTGAAGAAACGTCCAGGGTTCGGCGGGTGGTTACGTCCAGGGGAACAACTAAAACAAAATTGCGACACCCGAACACGCTAGCGATTTCTCAAACGGTAACGGAAGCGCAAGTTAATTAGTGGTATCTACGAGGAAACGAGATGCAGGAAAACGGAACAAGACTCCCCTTTTTATGCTTACCGGAAACAAAAGCATCAAATGCTTATCTGCCAATTAAACGGTACGGTATTTTAGTCCAAAACGGTACAACTAACTCGGAGTTACAGAATCTCAAAATAAACAACCCTTCGACCTTTAGAACCGACCGTAAAAAAATCGCACTTGGTGAGCGCCAACAGAAGTCTAACACAATCTTTCGCTCCCTTCTCCCCTTAAAAATTCTAAACTCATTTTATTCACTCAGAACCTATTACCATATTTATCGAGCACCCAGTACATAAAACACAATTTTGCATTTTAACTTTTTTTGTAGCATCGCCCAGAGATATCGAACTAATGGGCCACCCTGTATAAAGGAATGTTAGGCTTTAGTTACTATATATTTGATTGGTAAATAAATAAAATACAAGCAATTTCGTTTAACAGTCCCGAAATAACTCTTCATTAGCCCTTCGCACACTTCATTGGTTCTGTGTATCCGCAAGCTATTTATAGCGACACTTTGCCCAAATAAACTGCAACCTTCACGAACGAAACGTAATTTATATTAAAACGCCATTAAAGTTCTAAATCGATTTGAAATTGTGACTGTCAACAGGCGCGTTTATTGTTTAGCGTGTAGCGCTTTAATTGAATCAATCAAGACGATATTTTCGTTCTATTATTTATCAGTATTGATTAATTAAATTGTTGCTTGACTTGTGAAATGGTCAGCCCGGATTGTGGTTCATTTACTGTTGAAGAACTGAGATTGGTTCATGTGAATTGTAATTAGATTTTTCTCAAGGCTCTCAAAGGCTTTTCAGCTCTTCACAAATACTTAAAATAGTCAGTTTTCAATTGTCCAAATATAAGATCCCGTATGCAACTTGATCTATCACATGATAAGCAGTGACCAAAAGTTTCAGAAAAATATGTAGATCACGAATTTCGATAGGGCGCATCTCGCAATAGTGGTCGATGGGTGAAAATAACCCTCATACTTTCTACTACTCATCAAATAAAGCGCTTGATAGCCAATTTAATGGCGACTGATTATTATGTTTTTGACTGTATGTGTAATTAAAAACTGTTATTATTGTTTAAACCCCTGCTACTTTATAGTAGCATGCAAATTTTTTAAGGGTGGATATCTCCATTCTGCCACTCCTGCGCCACGCGCCCCAGTGAATTTCGGATGATGATACTGCTTCACTAAGTTGCACGCGGAATACTAATTCAAAACTGATTAAAACTGGAAGTACAAAATGAGAAGGTTTGGTTTGTTGAGTTTTATTGATGAGATCTACGTGACCAGTGGACTTTAAACGTTAATTCTCAGCGGTTTTATTTGGAGATATAAGAAAAAATTCAAAAAATGGTGCTCTGGTTGTTGATATTAAGCAGATGAATGTGGATTATTAAGGCTACTCCGAATAAGGCTATATTATATTTTTAACAGAAGATCTACAATGGTTACATTACGATTATACGGAAATGGCGAAAGTTTCACAGCGTTGTGGTGGTAGTAGTGGACGGGGCAGGGCTAGACCATATATCGAACTCCACACATTTTTTTACGCTCGGTGGAAGCGTAGCCTGTGCTAGAATTTCATCTACTTTCATATAATAATCCCATGTTGACATCCCAAACATTATATCATCTAGGTCACTAATTCTTAAAACGCATTCGGTTACATAGTCATTACTTATTATGAGCAGAGGTATTAGGCAAAGAGTGAAACTAAACAGAAGCCAATAGATGCGCCAAAGCGTCTTCAGCACATTAAAATCAAATGGTTTGAGGCCCTCTTTAAGGCAGCGAATTATCCCCAAGGTGTACTCCACTGCTGGCTCTTCTGATCCTAAAATATAGATGTAACTACACGTATTGTTTAAAACTGAAATTACCTAATTGCTTGGATTCGAATCGAGAAACCGCAACCACCTCGAAAATTAGAAACGTTAAAACTACGATAGGCACTATGAACCTCATCTTGATTACTAGCGTTTCACAGAAGCGCGTCGATTTATAACCTCCGCTTGTTTTTTTTAAACCGTTTATCTTATTCTTTACATAAAGTCACCGAGATCAAAAATAACCTTATGCGCGACTAAGGACAACAAGTAATGGATCTAGGGTTTTTTTAATTACGCGACGCGCGCACACAATTATTAGGTATTGGATACAAAACCTATCTATCGTTTAGGGTATAAGTGGGACCCTTCAACCGCATTTGATTTATGATTCACAAAAACAAACTATAATCTCGCTTCTAAGTTTGCATGTTGATTTGATAGGATAAAAAGTACGCGTAATAAATTTTTTGGTAGTGTTTAACTAGGGTCACCTACAGCAGTGAGTATCTGGGCCCCTAAAAAGTTGTTTGTAAATGTACAATCTCATCGCAATCATCACCTTAAAACTGACGGAATCAAGGAAACAAAATGGACTCGAAAAGTACAGCACTTACAATAGACGAATCGCTATATAAAAGTGTAGATCCTTATTAAAGAGTCATTAAAGATTTGGGTACAAACATAAATCAGAAGAACAAAATGTGGATGTAGATAAATAGTCTTTTTCTTAAGCCCCATCTCGAATAATTCCTTCTAGTACTAGGGGTGGGTTGGTGGAGAAATTGCGAGATCGAGTTCAGTTATGGCTATTGGAATTCGTTTGCCTCGGAATGGACTGCCAAGAAACTTTTGGCATTGAATTTATAACTAAATTCAATGCCTTTGGTAACGGTAACGGAAGCGCTAGTTAATTAGCGGTATCTACGGGGGGAACGAGATGCAAGAAAAACATGTCCCATGTCCATGAACCTAGCAGAGCAAGGTCGGCAGAACACAATCAAACATATTGCATAATTAGGTGATAATTAAGTGCCCTATCCCCGAATTAAATGCTCCTTTTTTAAAATTATTACATGTTCCTGGCAGGTCCATAATTTAAAAAAAAGGACGTTGTAAAAGGTTTCCCTCGTTATATAACAAAGGCGTGGTCTTGTTTTATGGTCGTGCTCTGGGATTTCCCCGACGAAAAAGTTGTGGCCTTGGTGAAGAGGTTCATCCCTATTACGTAACTAAGGAGTGAATGAATACTTTAGGAGTTGTTTAGAGTTGGGGTGGCAAGAAGTTCGATTATTTTTGGGGTTTCGTGGATTTCATTGAATCAGTTTTATTAATTAGACTTTGACTTTGATCAATTAATTAATTCAGGTATGCCCTTTAAAGCGAGCGGTAGAAAAAAAACGTTACTCTTAAAAAATGACGAATTATGCATTTCAAAATTTGCAAAAGAAGCAAACCTAGAAGCAAAGGATATATGTATATGTGTATTGGTTCTATAGATGAGTGCGAATAAAGTACAGAAAACCGGCCAAGTAAAACAAAAAGTTCTGTACTTACATATAAACATTTTTTGTTATATAGTAAAGGTAGTCGTGGATTTTGTTTCCTTCGAGTGCCCGAAAAAATATGATGTAGGTATTATTCTGAAAGGAAAGTGGTTTTTCTTTACTCGTCGCATTTCTAATCTCGGGCAACGTCTGGATTAGGAATAGTGCAACTCGTAAAGATAAATACCACTTGTAAAACAAGTAACTATTATGTTATTTATGGACACTTGTTTCCTAGCTCAATTTGCGATTTCCTCAGGTGTCTGTACGAATTTCATTAGAGACTTGAATATTACAATAGGCCTTAATGACGTTGATACCGAACAAGAAGGATGATTGGCGGTATTTCAACGATTTTGTGGACTCATTTTTTCATTGTTCACATGCCTTACCTTTCGTTTATTGGAAGGAATGTAGACATTCCTCTTCTTAATACGTACTTATTGTTATTGCGCACTTCTCATACGTACATCAATTGCGTTAGTCAGTTACGTCAAATTAAAATGAGGTTTCTAAAAAGTTAATGTGTTTTCTAGACGAAATTCTGACAATGTTGGGCTGCTGCAGCTGCAGTGTAATTAAGTTTATTTCTGGAAGAAATTCTAGACAGAAATTTTTATTGTTCGATTCGCGTTATTACCCCAAAATAAATTTTATTCTGGTCACTGTGACAAATTATGCCATTAACATTTGCGAAATTTACTCTTTCTTAGAAACCCCGTTTTGTACGTTTCTAAATCATCGGAAAAGGCGAAAATTGGCGAATTTCTTAATAGTTTCCGTAGTTTTAGTAAATGTTCTTGGTGTTTGGTTGTAAAACAGGGGCGGAATTTGTGAAAACTGAGGGCTGTTGTGAACTGTTTTAATTAATTTAATTTTTCCATGGTTGTATGTCGCTAAAGTAGTGTCACATCCTGAAAAAGTATAAGAAAATAAACCGGAACGAGGGCTGGGGTTGATTTGATGAAAATAAACCCCTAAAGCGGATCTAAAAGCACTTTGATTTGACCCTACTGGATCATTGGTGCCAAAGTTTCATTAACCTCCGACCTTTTTCTATCTTAAACTATCTGTCGACTGGACTACACCACCTTAGTTAATGAGCGACACGTTTTTTTATCGTTGTATCCCCAGTAGGCCTAATTCACATGCAATGCACAATTCTGAAATTTAACGCAATCTTCTTCGCGTTGCTGTTCTTGATGGACCAGGTATTCCGGTGCGAATTTAAGTCTTTGCAAAATCACAAAATACATTAAAAAGGAATTCAATGGAGCCTTTTGCGAAATTCAAAGCTTCAAATGCATAGGAAAAGGCTTATTGCCAAATTCCAAATCCTTGAACTTGAAGCTCTTCATAACCATTTGCACATTTCTGTTGTCTGGTTATTGTTGCAATTTATCTATGTCATTGGGAAAAAGTTTGTGTACTTGAATTTTGAATCTTCCCATGGCGTACCCGGTACACAATAAAAAAAATAAGAAAATAATTGCTCATTGTCTTGAAATAATTGCTCTTTTTTTTTAAATTATTCTTAAATGCAATAAGTTTTGTAGCTTCTTTACGATATCGACTGCACTGCGCTAATAACTTCGAGCGAGTTCGTCAATTAATTGGTGCTATTGAACTATTTTTAGCTTTCGCGAGTCCGCGAGAAATTTTGACGCGTTTACTTGAAATTCGCGTTTTTTTGCCGCTATTGTTTTTGGCAATTAACGTAATTGGCCATTTTTCACGACTGTTGACATTTTAGTTCAATTCTCTGTATAGTAAATTCGTCCTTCGCGCGTTTAATTTAACGCTATTTGTTAGTTTTAGATTTCCGACCGCAAGACTCACATGACATTAATATCTAAAATTTGTTTCAGAGTACGAATTTGTAGTGGATAATCGGGAGCTGCGACGACCGTAGGTGATTTACACGCGACGGCGACGGAGGCATCTCGCTGGGAAGGTTTCTACACGGAAATCGAAACGTCGGACCTTGGATATCCAATGTTGACTCAGGTCCTTTTCGCAATTACCCGACTCGGGAGATCGCCTAGGAAAAAATAAGTGCCGCGCACCGTGTGCTAACTATTTTTATTGACTTCGATCCAGTGACATTGAACTTTTATAATGAGTTCGCCCAAGAAAAATTTGAAGAAGTTGTCCTTTTTGGGTTTCGCCAAACCTGTCAACGGGGTAAGTACGCAAACTTTGCCATACACACCCTGCCTTTTTGAATTCGTATGGGTAATTAGAGGTATGCAAATTATGCCCATTAAGTGATTACAACCTTTTGCATGTGTTTTTTGAAAATCTCGATTAGGTGCATTTTGCTATAGAGTTTAAAGAAATGGGTTATTCAGTAAGGCTAAAAACGTTGTACTAATCGTGCAAGCAAACGAATGTATGAAATAAAAATTGCACGACGCAACGCGGTTTTTTGCATTTTATTAAAAGTGGTAAATAACAATTTCCGGTTTTATGCGCCACGGTGGCGCTTTCATTTTACAACATGCGATTTTGTATTTTGCAAAAGAGCCGCTAATTTTCTAATAGTAAAAGACCATATTTTGAGGAATTAAAAGCTGATCAATAGATCGGAGCACACTTATTTGTTTAAAACTGCATGTAATAGTCTCCTTTCCAACGAACAACGCTGTGACGACTGAATTTATTGATTGCATTGAAGATAATGTTATAATGTAGGTCATTGTAAATATATATTGTTGTTACGAACGGGTACGGTTTCGTGTCCGATACCTTCGATATCCTTCCATCTATATACTTACATATTTCCAATTGTTAATAGTGTGTAAGAACTTGGTCACGAGAATGACGAATCCACTTTTCGGTTTTCTTGCGTAATATTTACACTGCTGTGTTAATAAATTGATTAAACTAGCTGAGTAACGCTAATAAGACGTTATGTGCTTTTGCTCATTAATCTTAATTATCTGTCACTTTTCTAAATACTGTATTTAATGATATTTTTGTTATAAGCAATTAGGTTTTCGGTAGCGGTACCATTTAATTTTACATTACATGGAGCCGGATTCTTGGCATAACGACCAGCAGATTCCATTATATATTAGTAGGTTTCTGAGGATTTGTACATGAGTATTTTTTCCTTTTCGCGTTACATTTCCTCTTGTAATGCAGACAGTCCAATTACCTTCTGGATTCGCGTGGGTAGAGCTTTATATAATATGTAGCAAACTTATTTCCCGAATTGACGTGGGTGGGTTTCATATAAGATATAGCAACCGTTTTTAAAATACGAAAACGTCATTGGATTCTGCACTGGAAAATATAAAAAACAAACGATTTGGTTAAAAGGTAAAATCGAAAATATGTGTTGCCATTATTCCCGAAAATTCTTCCTAAAAGCGTGTCTAAGCAAGTTTTATGATCTCTCCTCACACACATCCGGCATTCGCTACCAAACAAAATCCTAATAATAGCTCGAAATTAATAATTTAGGAGACTCCATCAACTTCCGAAAATAGAATAATAGAAAAATCTGAACATGAGAACTCTATCTGGGTCGTATAATGGATTCACAAACACACAATTAATTGATTGATAATATCAAAAAAAATTTCCGAAATCAACAAGAAAAACCTGAAATAAAGAGGTCACGTTTTACAATTTAATGAACAAATTTACACGGATGATAAAATTTAAACAAGAAATTTCGCAATTAAAAACAATTTTAAAATGGAAAAATAGACACTAAAATACCTAATTCCGATGAAATAATCCAATTTTGTGATTATTCGCAATGAAATCCTCCAGATTTAAATTGGATTAAAACATTCGATAATAATAATAATAATAATTCGCCTAAATAACGTCTCCCATGGTATCCCAGGCATTGCATTGTGGTAAAAATGCCCCCCCCCCTTTTTTTTACGGAAGTACATGGTTTGAAGCAACAAAAATCTGAATCAAAACAAAATTTCGATTGTCGGTCTGTTTGTACTCTCATTTCCAGCTAAACGGCTGAACCGATTGGAACCAAATTTAGTGCACATATACATACGCATAAAAAACGGTAGAATTGCGCATGCGTAGGGGTGCGGGTGGTACCTGTGCTAGCCACAGCAGTTTTTTTAAGTATTAGAAGGTTAACTCGGACCCTTGTACAATTAGGCATGTTCTCATATAGAACAGTGAATATGAATCCCTTTATACTCTTTATTAACGAGCTCCTAGCGAGTTTACAATTTTGCGGTGTCTGGCCGTCTGTCCGTGTTACCACGATATCTCGATAACGAATGGGCCGATTACGATGAAATTTTGTAGGTGGATTCTTTATCAAATTTGTAGCTCGTAGTCCGTGAATTGGCAATGTACGCCAAAAAATAAGGAAGGCCTTTTTGACATCTGTGAGTTATGCACCGAATTGCAGGAAATTCAGTATGCGTATAGCTTTGGCCATATAAAATGCCCAAGTTCCAAAAGTTGATCGATCAACATTCACACTGTCCTTTTCGCATCTCGACCGTTTATAAAGTGAATTGCAAACGTTCATATTTATGAAAGCATTTAAATGGAATTTGATACATAGCCATTTAGTCTAGGCGATAGAGACTGTAAAATTGGCAAACTGGACATTTTGAGGTGGAAAAGAAAAAAATGGTGGAATATGTTCAGTTAGGTGTCAAAAACAACATATTAAAAATCCTACCCTCCAGACCCTGTGCTAAAGGCTCCAGCCACCCCACCATCCCCCAAAAACCTGGTTTTCGCTCTTTTTGGCTGATATATCGCGATCTATGAGGTCTATTTGAAACATTTTTAGCTGAAAATATTTCTCGGGAAATTTTATACAAGGTAGATACTCAGAAGTTAGCCTAGGTGTACCTCTTAGCCTAGGAAATTCATAAAAGCGGCGAAAATCATCCATTTTCGTGGCTTTTTGCAAATATATCGCGACCTTTAGGGCTAGATGAAATATTTTTACCTGAAAATGCTCCTCGTGAAATTTTTTACAAGGTAGATACTCAGAAGTTAGCCTAGGTATACCTCTTAGCCTAGAAAATTCATAAAAGGAGGCGAAAATCATCATTTTCGTATTTTTTTTTTGCGGTTTTTTGCAAAAATATCGCGACCTTTAGGGCTAGATGAAATATTTTTAGCTGAAAATGCTCTTCGTGCAATTTCATACGAGATAGGTAACTAAATAAATGGTACATAGAAATACTTTGTTTTACAATGAATATTTCCTCACACATGAAAGTGGAAGGTGAAAGGTGACTTTACGCTAACTCTTCAGTTACCTATCTCGTATGAAATTGCATGAAGAGCATTTTCAGCTAAACATATTTCATCTAGCCCTGACGGTCGCGATATTTTTGCAAAAAACCGCAAAAAAAACACAAAAATGATGATTTTCGCCTCCTTTTATGAATTTTCTAGGCTAAGGCTACACCTAGGCTAACTTCTGAGTATCTACCTTGTAAAAAATTTCACGAGGAGCATTTTCAGCTAAAAATATTTCATCTAGCCCTAAAGGTCGCGATATATTTGCAAAAAGCCACGAAAATGGATGATTTAGTTAGATGTCTTTATCGCCTAGACTAATTTGGAATAAGAGCAAATGTAACGCCAGTTTAAAAATTTGGCAGTGCCAACTTTCTTATCTAAGAAATTCGATACATATGCATTTGGAATAAAAGCAAAATGGTAAGCGCCAGTTTCCCAATTTGATTCATTTGTCTTAACAGATAAAAAAATTGAGATTGTGCAAATAAAAAAGTTGGGTTGCCCATGCGCGATTTTTTTTATTTACACAGAAAACCGAACATTTATAATATGTTCTTTATAAATTATAAAAGAAACCTTTTTTTAGGTTTGAGCAGTAACTTTTTGGCCCGTTAGTATACGTAGGCGAAAAACAATAGCGACCTTTCTTACATCGTTAAGAACATGTGTATCAATTTTCAAAGCGATCGGACGTTTCTACACAAAGAACACACAGCATTACAAAATAATAAACGATCTCGAGGATCGTTAATAAAAGCAAAACTAACACCAGGTTCAAAACTTGGTTTTTCACATGCTATAGCCATACCCAGGAGCTCATTTTCTATATTTGTTTTTTGTTGTACTCAATGCCGCTTTAATCCCGCATGGGAAATTTCCCCTATGTATGTTTTCGATCCAATTTTCCTCGATGTTCTCTCGGATAAACCGATTTTAAAGTCTCTGTAGACAAGAAAAAAAAATGTAACGAAAAGTAAATACGTTAACTTGATCAAAATATGTCGTTAGGGAGCCATCTGTTGTCGTCCTCAACCTCGCTTACTAAATTTGGTAATCGTTTCGCTTAGGCTCATCATTAAATCGAAATTCGAATGTATAGAATTTCATTTGTATGCTGCCATTCGAAGGTGCTCAGTCAGAAAGGTAACGAGTCCAATTTGCTCAGTCATGCACATAATATCTAAGTGGAAAGGGCAAACAAGTGGCAGTCATGCTAGAAATTTGAAATCGATGCTGCTATTTTGGGACAGGTAGTCATTATATTGTTAACCCCCACGAGATTACATTTCTATTTTTGCACGTGTTGGAATTGAATGTGAAACAGAATATGTTAGGATATACATTGGAAACGATCTTGTTATACTTTTCTTACTTACTTATTTATACTTTTCAAAACGTACCTACTAACATAAATGTGCAAAAAATGCAAAGCTAACTTTTTGAGATGCGCTCTCGCTGCGTGTTTCACCAGAGCACTAACTAAATCTTCGCTTAAAAATTCACTTAACCCAAAAATTGCAATCGAAATCTTACATTTCCCATGAATTTCTTGTGGTATACATTAAGTTTTACCATATTTACATAAAACATGGGATGTGTTTGCACCAAAGGAGCTCCTTCAGTTCGATTTTTAGGGGAATTTTTCGAAACTCAAATAGTTGAGTGGTCACTCAACGCTCAAACCCAAACATCGATGATATCCAAAGACTACATTATCTCAGGTCGAGTCTTGTAGGCGATGCTGTCATTAAATCTAAACTACCAAGTCGCTTGGGAAGCCATTTGCTTTCGCTATGACCAGCCTCATATGTTCATTTAGTTAGATTCAGTTAGATATGATTAGTTAAATTGTTAATGACGTGTAATCGGTGTAAATTATAAGTATTTGCACGAGAAATGGGTGTAGTTTTCGTGAAACCCAAAAGCGCATCACATGGCGATCCTGCCATTCGACCCGGGATTCTGATGGTGCAATTCGACTTTGCCTTCTGATCCTGCAAATCAACCGGCCGACTGGTTCTACATTTAAATGGGTGGAACAAAATCTAAGGAAACTGTCTAAGGCGCAGTTTTTTATTGCTCTAAAAGATATGCTTGGGTAATTTCCAGTGATTTTAAAACATAATTAATGTTTTTTTGTGTGGTAAAGTGATTTTTAATGGGTCATAAACAGATGCATAATACATAGTTATATATTCGTTTAACAACTGTCCTTATATCAAACTTTATTACATATAAAAGCGCAAGTCGAGCAAATAAATTTAAAACTTAGAAAAGGAGGTACAAAGAGGACAGTACACGGTGCAGTTTTTCCAAAGCAAGACTTTTGCATTAAATAATTTTTCTCTCTCTATTATATTTTTATCGCAAAACTTTTGTTTTCTTTCACCGCTAAAAATTATTGCCATAAATAGGCAATAATTCGAGGGCTACATGGCACCAACCATTAACACCCTGATAAACAGTGATTGTTTGGTCCGTCCATCGCCTAACTCTAGAACGAAAAGAGACAGCGATGTCAAACCTTCGCCAATCGATTTCTACGAGTTCCAAAAAATCCCCTATTGAAAATCGTGTTTTGGTATACCAGCCAATGCATTCATTTAATTCACCTACACGAGAAGTGTTGAAAGGGCAGCTTGTGTTTGGGGCAATGTTCTTTGAATTTTCCCTTAATCCTCCTACCCAAGATTTTATTTTCCATATCAAAGTTGAAACCAATTAGGTTTTCAAGAACTCTCAGTTTATGTAAAGTTTATAATTTTAATTAAAACACGTCCTTGGTATCGTTTTCACTCCTAATTAAAATGGAATCAAGATTAGTACGCAATTTTCCAGGGACAGTGCGTCCTGTGTTTTTCAAACTTTCAGATAATCGCCTTACGTCGGATTTCATTTGCCATTTGGCGCAAAGTTTTTGTTAAATTAGGAAAGACGCTCCTGTTCGGCATTTTCACCTGTCAAATGGTAATCCCCTAAAAAATTTAAGCTTCCCTTTCAACCCTGACCCTGAAACCCTTGGCGAATTATGCTAACCTTGATCATGGGGTTTCCTGGATGCTGAATGTGCGCAGCCCTATCGACCGTTTTACTTCACAGTATCTGCTGGGTGCGGTATTTTGGCAGTAGTAGGTCAGTGCACAGCTGACGGCCGTCGGTGGTTGCTTCCCTGCCGGAATTCCAGCTCTATCCTAACACGCGTCTCGTTGCACTTGTCGAAGTTTATTGTGACGACGACGCTTAGTTTTTTAATCTTGTTTGGCACTTTCAATCGACTATTTTCTTTAAAAATTACCTTTTCTAATTAACTTAGAAGTTTTTTAAGGTAAGCAGCCCTACTTTGCAAAGAACGAAAGCTAAATGGAGACTTTTCCGCTACTTCACAATATTGCGGAAATGAACAGAAAATTAGTGCGCTAAGTAGACACCGATTTGCATAATTGCACGGAAGCTGTTAGATCCAATTGCCCTTTTAATCCCGTCGTCTGAAAAACCGCACTTTCCGAAAATGAAGAGGAAAAAACAGCTGCACAATAGGATGAACTAATAAAAGAGTATCGATTGTTTAACTAATACACGAAGCCCCATGCAATAAATCCACGTGTTATATAAACTCATTCATATGCGGAGTGATGTATTAAAGATACGTAAAAAGACTCTTTCGAGAAAAATTCACTTGGTTAAATGAAAATGAAGGCAAGTGCAATTTAAAAATGTCTCTCGAGCCCGTAGTGTGATGCCTACAGAAAAACCGACGACGAATCAACGGTCGTTTCTAAATCGGGCAAGAGGGAAGTTTTGGAATTGGATTCGCAATTTAGGCCATCAGGTGGGTAGATCAATTTTCCCCCCGCTCTTTATCGTACAATTAATAATGCAGTAATTCCGACACTTTGTGTGAGAAAATTACTCACAAATCTTCGGAAAAAGCAGAACCTACCATTTTCATATAAAGTAGCATATTTTAGAGCTAGAATATCGCACTAGTTCAGTTGCTGATTTTATTTATATATTGCATCGACTTGTGCTTTAGGTAATAGTGCATATAATTAGAAGCAGCTTTAAATATAACTCCATGTCGGTGTACAGGGTGTGATAAGTAGGATACGTAAATTGAGCAGTTGTACGTATACACCGCACAGTATTTCAGATAGATCGAATGTAATAGTATATTATATACCGCGGGACTGAAGTAGTACTTTTAATCCCGAAGGTAAAGTTTATGGGCCGACCGAAGGGAGGGCCATAATTTACCTGAGGGATTAAGACCACTACTTCAGTCGCAAGGTATATACGGATATTTTTCGTACTTCCGAAACTGAAACACTAATATGTATGGAGTTAGAGAACGCGTTCTTTCAAAAAATCGCTGCTTAACAAGTTACCATAGGAACGTTGCGTCAGTACACCAAACCCTATGCTATGGTAACAAATATAATTTGGAAACTGTCATTGCTAGTGTCATAATTTCGGTGGTGGCTGACAAAGGTGTATTTGATATTGATAAAAAGCAGCCAAACTAGGTAATGAATTGATACCACCGAAATCCAAAAAACTATATGAGCAGCAATCAGTACGATGCGTTTAAGAGGTAGTGCCGCATACAAAATGTGGAACAACCTACTGAAATTGCCTTGTTAGTAATTTCATCCTTCCGGGATTTTCGTCCAAATTTAATCCCGGCGGGACAAAAAGTGACACTTCAGTCCTTGTCATAATGGAGTGAAGTTGTCACTTTAGTCTCGGAAGTACGAAAAAGCAATTTTCGCGAAGTTTTGGAAGTTTTTGCTGCTCGATCAAAAGTTGCAGTAGTTTTCCGAAAGTTACGTATTTTCATGTGCAATTTCGGCGAAATCGCCGTCTTTCAACGATGCGTAGTTCAAATGACCAATTCCTATTACTGAAAACAGAATTGGAAAATTCGAAACCGTTCGCGAGTTATCACGTACACAGACGGACGGACAAAATCCAAAATCACCTGGGTCGCTCGTTAATAAAAACTTGTGTTCCCAATTTTTTGACATGCTCATCTGAAACATCCCGTAATAACACATTTTTTTAATAAAATTTTGAAAATTGTTCATTGGGGTATTTCGAAATAAACACGGCCAAGTGTCTTCTTTGTAGAATAGGAACTATACCACTAATGATATACTAAAACGATAAAATTAAATTTTCCTGGTTATAAGAGGTGGCAACAGTTTTAGACACGCAACTCTAACATTAACAAATTGAAGTGTACATTTTTTTTTACAATTTTGGCAGCATTCTGTACTGTACGATCTAGACCCCTTGGCAAATGATCGGTGACATTGTTTTATACGGCCAAAATTATTGTCGCATCTTGCTTTTGTGGGCAAGAAAAGAGATTTTATCGTACTAATAGTTGGCAAACACTTGTAATTAGTTGCCACCGGCTTTGTTTTCGTAACATAAGAAATTGTTTCAATTTCATCGTCTTTAGTATGAAAAGTAATAGTATAAAATACGAGATAAAATACTTGTAGTGTCATATCACAATATTATGAGTTAGGTTGCGTGTTGGATAGTGATGACGATTAACCAATGGTAAGTTCGCAACTATTTTTGCGTGGATTATAAAATAAGGGTATATTTATACGGTCCATTGGAGAAACAAGGGTACAACACCAGGGTCACAAGGCCTCTAGTGAAATTGCAGGGTTTTCGAATCAGAGAGGACACCATGAAAAGAATACGTGAACTTCCCCTAGGTCTAGGCTTAGGTAATAATTTGAAGATGAGTAAAGTCTGGGGAACAGGGCGACAGTGGAAGAATTTCCGTTGACCAGCGGTATCATCTCTGAAGTAATGATTAGAATGGCCGCTCCGAATATAGAGAGAGGTGCTTCCTTGAACATATCAAAATAGGAGAGCTTTCCAGTGGTACCAATAAAGTATATATTCATTAAGACAATTTAACAAAAATTTAATAATTCACAAAGGTTATGTTTTAACTTGAAGATTCAGTCAAAATATAGAAAAACCGTTTTTGTGAAAAGTTCTTTAAAAATGCTAAAATCCAATATGGGTTCCAGAAGAAATAAAAAAAAGTTATCTACTGTAACTTCCAAGTCAAGAGTGCCTTGAATTTTGCGATAACATATTTGGATCCCTCATAAAAATTGTTCTTTAATAATGTTTTAGTTTAAAACGTCCACTTTTTGTCGTTTTCGAACTTAAAAGGGAAAATCGAAAATTGAAAATTTCGGTTTGTTTCCTAAATCGTAAATCGTAATGGCACATTATTGGGCACCAAAATTTGCTTTGCCCCAATTTCGACCACACTGCATCTCTTCAAATAACCGAGATTCCCATGTTGGAGCTGGAAAAACGGGCACCCTGTATATCTACTACAGCGGTTACTCGAAAAATTCATTCACCGTATCTCATTTTTACATTTTTATAAGGTAACTCCGTAATTATTTGTGCTATCAAATAAGTAACACAGGCGGCATGTGCTCTTTTTGAGTCAAACGGAATGGTACAATATTCTCTCGCTTATGAGATACGGGGGAAAATAAAAAAATGAAAAAAAGATTTGCGCCTTAAGGTGAGCATTTGCCATGAATTGGTCAGAACTTCCCGAAAGGTCATCGGACTATTTATGTGTACAAAGGAAAATAAGTTCGAAGAAGGGGAAGAGTCTGAAACCTAAGAATGAAACTGAAAGGACACGAACCTTGTAAAAAAACAAAAAAATCCGAAGCGCCCCAAGAAGAGACCGAAGAATTTAAAGAAAACAAATAAGAATCTGAAAAATTGCACAATCCGCAAAAATTCATAAAATTGGAATTGGACATTAAAAAAAGGGATAATTTCAAAAATTCCTTGCAGGTAGAGAATGATCGTTTTTGTCCTTGAATGTTTCCAAAAAACTTTATACGTTTGATAATTAAATTAAATAATTAAAATATAATGATGACATTCAGAAAAAATATTACGAAATCGCGCTTTTTCATGTGGCATGACCACGCCAGCAGAGAAGGACGCGCTTGAAATTGGTTGTTTATCTCGAATTTTCCAAAAAAAATAATGCCGTAATAGTTTAGCGGATTACTAATCATGTAAAACTACGTCAGTCCGGCTTCAGCACCTGCAGTTAATGATGGGTCACCCTGTATGCGCATTTCAGTTATATTTAATGTTAAAAATTAGGTCTTTAATTTTGAGAATTAGTTGAATTCGAGGTCAATTTTGCTTTGTATGTTGTCTAAATAATCGTTTTGTTGAATTTGTTTATTTTATTGTAAAGTTATTGTTTTAGTAAGATGGGAAACATCTGAAATTATTTGCGTAATTTTGTTATATTAAATCAGGGTCGTTGCGATAAGAAATTTGGTTATCGCTGCGAACGCTAATTATTTTTAGGGTAAATCGCCAGAGTTTAACACAGGTGTAGATTATTCTTAAAAAAATTGGAAGACATTGATCGACAAGGGCGCTTGTTTTAGGCGCTTGATTTTCAAGTTTTTAGTTAAAGGGAGTTTTTCCCCCATCAAAGGGCCAAAACTATAATTGCAATTATAACGAAGTCAGTGTCGTCTGAATCAAATTTTATGTGAAGTCAAAGAAGTGAAATTCCGAAGCATCATCAGCTTGGGTTTTGTGTTAGTGCGTCTGTTTGTTGAAAACCTCAATTATGACCGGATGATAAGGATTGTTTAGCATAAGAAAACTTGACTTAAATTTAATTTGTTTAATCCATCTATTATTGCGTGGTATGTTATCTGGCTTTGAGTGCCTATTTCTCCTTCGGCTTTTCATCTGTAAACATGTTTAATTGAGCCCAGATTACGACTCAAGGGGGTGTTAATTGAAAATTTGTTAACTCTTTGAACTTTTGGAGGCGGGTGAGGTTCTCTGATTTAACAACACAAAACAGTAACATTTTCAAATTCTTCGATGTGACATCTACCTACCGTTTGCGCTTTTACTTCCAATTTTAGAGAACATATTTTTCCTGTTTAGACGTCGACGTTTCACCCGAGCTGTAATCACATAAACATTTTCACTTGGCCACATTTATATTAAATTTTATCTGAGATACAGCCGACTGCCTCTGTTATTTGCCCACGCGTTACTCTGGAGGATATAGAGCTTACCTAGCACGAGTAAAGAACTTTTATTCTCTTTGGGGAACTATACGTTTCATGCTGTTCGTTTGTAACTCGGTTTGAACATGATCTACTGTTTTTTCACAGCTATTCAAGCTTAATGTGTCTTTGTCATCGTTACTTTTGTTTTCATGGACCTTCCAGTAATATTTTACTCGCACAAAACTCATACCCTTCAAAATTAAGTACTTACACCTTAATAAATTACTTGTAATGAGCTACCTTTCGGTAGGCACCTGATTTAGTAGGTAGCTCGTTGTCATTAAATTATCTACATTATTGCAAAGGTGACGTTGAAAGGTGTAAAGATTCATAAAATGAAAAAAACACTCGTAAAATCTTAAAAAGTACACGTTTTCCTTCATTTTTCCTCAGTGCTGACACATAGAATGATGGATCGACTTTACTCAGTTTTCTGGTATGCCCTACTTCTGATAGCAAAAGCAAATGTTTTATATTTCTTACTACAAGATGGCGCATTCATGAATGGGGATTCCGCGAAAACGAAACATTTTTCATAGTCTTGGTACCTCTCCAGCACCACTTTTCACAGATTTATCTATTATACCCTGTATGATAGCTGTTATAATTCAGATTACTAAAAGTAACATCAACTTATTGCGAAATCTGACAACTCAATTCATTTGCCACTTGCACGGAACGTTTATAGAGTGTGGGTAAATCGAGTTACGTC